AATGTCCAGAAAATGTTCTAGGGTCCAATTTCTTTTCATTTGGATTGTATATTCTAGCCTCTGCTGGACAACCCCAAACATATAAATGTCTTAAACTAGGTTTCCTACCAGTCCACAACTCGTAGGGAGTTGTTGGGACTGCCTTACTGGGAACCCGATTTAAGATATACATAGCGGTTTTCAAGGCTTCATTCGAAAGTGAAATGGGTGTAGTTGAATTATTTAACATACTCCTAACCATATCCATAAGAGTACGATTACGACGTTCAGCAACTCCATTCTGCTATGGTGTTCCAGGCATTGTGTATTGAGCACAAATACCACGCTTTTCTAAGAATTTAGCAAATGGGCCAGGATTTTTTCCCGACTCATCATATCTACCATAGTATTCCCCACCCCGATCTGATCATATAACTTTAATTTTTCTATCTAATTGTCTTTCGACTTCTGTAACAAACACCTCAAGCATGTCAACAACTTGAGATTTTTCATGAATTAGATAGAGATAACCATAACGAGATAGATCATCAATGAAGGTGATAAAATACTTTTCTCCACTAAAACATGGAATAGGTAGTGAGCAGATATCTATATGGATTAACTCAAGAAGCTCTTTACCTCTTCTGGCACCCCTTTTATTGTGTTTGGTTTGCTTACCCTTAATGCAATCCACACAAACTTGAAAATCAGTAAAGTCTAGATTTTCCAAAATTCCAGTTTTTACCAATCTGTCGATTCTTTCCTTGGAGATGTGCCCCAAACGTTTATGCCACAAGATAGAAGAATTTTCGTTATTTAGGCTTCGCTTTACGCCAACTTCCAAATGAGTGGTTAATAATGATTGTTCGAACTCATGATTCAAAGATACTTTATATAAACTATCACATAAAATACTGGAACCAATTATTATTGAATTAAACATAAAACTGAGTTTTCCACAACAATTAAAGCAGAATCACCACAAACATCCAGTTTTGACAAAGAAACCAAATTCCTAGAAAACGAAGGTACATAAAAAGTGTTTTCAAGATCCATCTTGTGACCCGTCTCTAATATGTGACGATAAGTGGCAAGAAACGCCACTTTAGATTTGAGACGGTTCCCCATATAGATGTACTTTTCACTTTCCTCCTGTTTCCGAGTTGTAAGGAATCCATGTAATGAATTTGTGATATGAGTTGTAGCACCAGAATCAAATCAATCCACCAAGTGTAAGAAGGAACTTCAATAAGATTTGATTTATAACATACAAAAGAAAGGTGAATACCTTTCTTTTCGAACCAAGCCTTACGTTTCTCACAATCCTTCTTTACGTGCCCCTTTTTGTTACAAAAGTAACAGATGACAAAAAAAAGCCTTTCCATAACCCTGACTACTTTCACCAGGTTCATATCTTTTGTTTGGTGCGAATTTCATTCCACTCTTTACAAATTTCCCTTTCTTCTTCTTCATAGTTCCATGAGTTACAGCCAGTGCAAAGTGATTTCCTTCTTGCTTTAATCTCACTTCCTCTTGAATACACATACTAGTCAGCTCATTCAAATTCCACTTGTCTTTTTGAGTATTATAGTGGATTTTTTAATGGGCCGAACTTTGATGGAAGTGAGTTAAGGATAAATTGCACAAGGAAGGATTCTTCCACTTTCATGCAAAGAGCTCCAAGTTTGGCAGCCCTATCATTCATATTCAGGATATGTTCACGAATTCCCTTATCACCACCATATTTCTATGGTAGTCGATTCAGCCATGAGTGTCCATGCTAGCGACTTGTCCGCTGATTTAAAGCGTTCTTTAATAGCCGTTAACAGTTTCATAGCATTGTCAACCTCGGGAAGAGAAGTCTCAATATTATTAGCAACGGTCATTCTAATAAGCATAAGACTAAGCCTATTGGACTTGGTCCAGACTTCAATTAGGCTAACTTCTTCCTCACTGTTAGCATCCGTTATTTCCCTAGGTTTTTCAGTAAGCAATGTTAGGTCCAAATCCATAACACCCAAGGTGAATTGAATTTGTTCATACCATTCGGAGAAATTTGACCCATTGAGTGTCTTAATACAAGAAGCATACGAGTACAATGAAGTAGGTATAGCAACTGAAATAAAACAAATGGCAAATATAATAAGGTAAAGATAAAAGGATGCTCACATAAGACCTTGAGTCAAATAAGATGAACTATCGATATCACTACAAGTTCTCCTTTGGGTAAAATATAGTATACATATTGTTCACTCTATGTTGGTGTAAATAATCTTTTATAACATCTAAGTAGGGTCTACATAATTTATTTCACTCGCCAATTAGTCATGTTACCTTTAGGAAAACAATTCTAATTGCTAAGTAATACAAATTATGATACCCTACCCAGTTCATAATTAATTAAAATCGACTATCCTTTGAATTGGTCTCAATTTCTTAATTATGACTGCAACTTGAGAATATTAGTATCTTTAATATCATCTAAATGATTAAACCTTCATATAGTTCTTATATTTATAAGATTTTACTAATCTAGGTCACTTTAACAACTACAAGATTAGTAAATTTCATAAATATAAAACTAATAATATTCTCGTTTTTTATTTGAGTTATAATTTAATAATGCAAAATAATCATAAAATATATGAGTATTAATAAATTGCATATAATTGAGTGATAAAATACACACAAATATGCATTTGGCCATACATACATATTCCATAGCTCTACCCAGTGTTCTAAAAATCGGCCGAGGCGGCTGATTAATCGGTCGCCGAGGCGGAGGCGGTCCAAAACCTTTACGGTTTTAGTGTAAATGTTTGAAAAATCAGTTTTTTGCCTGTGAGGCGGTTTGAGGCGGTTCGAGGCGGTCCGAGACGGTCTGAGGCGGTCCGAGGCGGTCAAACCTTTAAGGCGGGTCAAACTTCGGTTGCAAAAATCGGCAAAAAATGGGTTTTTTTTATTTTTTTTATTTTTTTATAAATCAAAATAAAAGTGGGGATTTTCATAAAAAAAAATATGAATTTAAGCTTTATTTTGTTTATGTTAATTATTATTGTTAAATAACTAATGATGTATGCCAAGAATGTATGTAAATTCAAAAACAATTGTCTTTTTATTTATATTTTATAAGAATATTTATGTATTATGATCTTATTATTATTAAATTTTTATTATGTTAATAGAATATATACATGATGGAGATATAACTATGTTTAAATATTTTTTATCTATGTTTTGAGTATTTATAAATAAAATCTAGAAATATATTATATTAAATTTTAAAAACCGATTTATTTCCTTTTTATAACCGATTAATCACCGCCACACCGATTAATCGTGAGTCGGTCCCTGACCGCCTCCGACCCGATTACCGCTTTTTACAACCTTGGATGTACCATATTAAACCCTCATTTTTTTAAGGGTAAATAGCACTTAACCCCCTTGTGGTTTGGACATTTTGCACATGACCCCCTTATGGTATGAATTTAGGCACATAACCCCCTTGTGGTTTTGACATTTTGCACATGACCCCCTTATGGTATGAAATTAGGCACATAACCCCCTTGTGGTTTTGAAATTTTGCACATAACCCCCTTATGGTATGAAATTAGCACATAACCCCCTTGAATGAAAACAGGAAAGACTAAATTACCCCTATCAAGTCAAAAATTCTTGTTGTATAATTTAAAAATAATTATTCTATTAAATGAAAAGCTTAATGTATTTTTTTTGTAAAATGAGAAATATAATATATTATTGTGTTTTGTTTTTAATTTTACAGCACAAAAGGTATAAAATACGAGTTATTGTACGATTGACAATTTATTCGATTTTAAAAATCAATTTGAAAATCTTTAACATTATCATTAATTATGATTATTATATTACTATTTTCTATATAATATATTATATTATAGCTATTATCGAACTTTAGTTGTTTTAAGATTCAAAGTCTTTATCTTTTTTTATTCTTTTAGAAAAATCTAAAAAAAACATTTCTCTAAAGTTGAAATTCAAAATTAATTTTTTTTTAAATATATGTGCGGTAAAATAGACAAAACACAATAATATATTATATTTCTCATTTTACATAAAAATACATTAACCTTTTCATTTTATACAATAATTATTTTTATATTAAAACAAGAACTTCTTCTCTCTATCTCTCTAATATCACAACTCACTAGTGTTCTGTAATTGATGGACTTCTCAAATTGCGTCTGATATTGAGGAGAAGAGTTGTGGATTCTTTTATAGACGAGAGAAGAGGGTCACGATTCTTTGTAATGGCATAAGACAAATCCCACCCATCATGGTCTTTTATTGCCATCATACGTTACAATCAATTACTATAAAATCAGCATTAATTCAAAAATTGAATTATCCGCAATTAATTAATTAAATTCAAAGGTTAATGGGCCATTAAATAAAATAAAACTAACAATATTAACTCAAATGCCATGCACCCAACAAGAATCATTTCTCAACTTTGCTAAAGAGAACAAGCCACATGCAAATTCCCAAAATACCCCCATTTCAACTTCGAAAACGAGCCACCACCATGCAAGACCCATTCCGACCGAATTAAAAGGAAATTCTCAAAATTGATTGTGAACGATACAATTGTCGATTGTATAGTATTTATTTCCACTTTGCATGAAATATTCATATTTGAACTCAACACGTACAGTGAAATATGCTTTTGCAATCCATGCGCATAAGCACACCTTAGAATTATTTACTATAGAAGACACGCAACTACATCTATCTTTTTTTATAGGAGCTTTCGATCTGATAATTTGTTCGATCAATATTATTCGAGACAATTGAAGAGTGGGTCAATCAAAAACCAAATTGAATAAAATATGGATTAATATAGGCATCACGCTACTTCCTTTAATATAGTTAAGATAGATTTACTAAATTATTGGGCTACAATCATATTATATTGGTTGGTATGTCGAATTACATGTAGATTGTGAACAATTATTTATAAGAATCAACAACTTGTCCAATCAAATAATGTAACAAATCACAATTTATAAATAAAAATCTATAATGAAAGCAATGATTTTAAATATACTAGTCCAACAGATAACCCCTGGATACAAACTATCTACAAATTTACTTTCATATACTAGAACAATTCAACTACCCACAAAAATAAAACAATTGAAACAATTTGGTGAAAGATAATCTTATATTACAAATAATTAAATTGAACAATTCAAAAGAAGTGCCAGCTGTTGTCAAATATTTGTGCTGGCAGAATAGGATACTCTTGATCTCCGACAATTAAGTGATGAGTCCCTGATTGAATTACCAACGTTCCATCTTCACTAGCACTACTAAAATGCTCGCATGGATTTATTTCAAATTCAACATTAGCCTTCTCTTTTGCGTTTAATTTCACTGTCTGAAATCCGACCAACTGTTTCACTGGACTACCCTTAACGGCTTCGTCGCGCCTTACAAATAGCAGAACCGAGTTCTTACCGGCCATCTCCCCTTCATTTTCTACGCTAACATTAACCGAAAACTTTGCGTTCTCGCATTTTTCGAAGCCGATATCCGAAACTGGAATTTCGTACGGTCTTTTAAGCCTCATTGCGTTCGATAATCTCTTGACATTGAGATTGTTTTTGCCAACGTTAACAAATTTGTATGAATAATTTGAGTAGCTAAGACCATAGCCGAACTCGTAAACTTTTTCGCCTTGATAAAATCTGTATGTTCGTCCCGGGTAGCCGGATAATGGATCGGACCTCATTCTCATATCTGTCATCGGTATTTTGATGAAATCTTTCGGATACCAAGTCATCGGCAGCCTTCCTCCTGAAAAAAAAAAAAAAAACAACATAAAAAAAATTGCTAGTAACATATATTTGTAAATCGGAATCATAAGAATTATTTTTTGAAGAAATATACCTGGATTGTGGTCACCAAATATGATCTCTGCAATAGCTTTTCCGCCAGCTTCACCGGGATATCCGGTCCACAAAATACTCCCAATTTTGGGATTATGTTTCGCGAACGAAACATCAACAGGGCCTCCACAAAGCAATACCAATATAACCGGATTTTTAGCTGCCTTTGCAACACTCATGATAAGACTCTGTTGCTGACCTGGAAGTACCAAGTCTTCTCGATCCAAATCTTCGCGCTCAAAATCTTGATTGATTCCCATTACGAGTACAACGTAATCTGCTGATCTGGCAAGTCTCATCGTTTCTCGTGAGGCAATTGAGGTGCAATTCACGGTTTCGCAACCCTGATGGAATTCGGTTTTCCTGACATAATTCATTAGTCCTTGTAGTGGAGTAATTGTCTTGCACGGGGGCCCCGCGTAGCTTCCTAAGAGTGTTCCCGAGACATTTGCATTGGGGCCTATTACTGCAAGAGACATTGTTTTCGACTTTGACAGTGGAAGGAGATTTGCCGAGTTCTTTAAAAGGACAATCCCATCGCGTGCAACTTCAAGTGCCAAATCTTGATGCTCGTGAGTACATATGTCGTTACGGCTAAGGTTTCCGTACGGAAGTTGATTTGGATTGCCGTTGAAAAGTCCTAATCTCATCCTCACGGTGAAGAGGTTATGAAGGGCTCTGTCTATATCAAATTCACTCACTTTCCCCATTTGGATTGCTGATTTTGTGTGATTCGCCAGATAGTCGCCGCATTCGACATCCATGCCTATTTTTTTTTAGTTTGATAAAAAAAAATGTCATTAGAATTTATTTTGTTTAAATTAAGTCGATCAATTGTTTATACGCTAAGTTACCTGCTTTGAGAACATCTGCCACAGCGTCTTCATGTGATTTGGAGTAATTTTGCATCTCATATAGATGTGGGACCGCATGATCGTCTGATGCTATGTACCCTTGGAATCCCCATTCCCCGCGAACGGTTTTCGTTAGTAGATCATAATCAACACAATTTGGAACACCGTTGACGGAATTATAAGCACACATAACCCCACTCGCTCGACCGTCTTTCACACAACTTTTAAAAGATGGTTGGAATGTATCCGACATATCCTGCTTCGTCACCTATACAAAACAATTAACACATTTTTTTCTTTAGAAAAAAAAAATCATTTATTCTAAACATTTGTCGTAATGTAACGTAGTGTTGGAGAGAAATTCATACAAGAGCGTCGAATGTGAAACGACTATTTCCGTTCCAACTCTCCAAATCATAGGCGGTGAGATGTTTGCAGCATGCAGAGGCTTGAAGATGGCCGTCTCTGAGGTCACCCCCTTCTAAACTGTCGCCTTGGATTCCTCGAACGAACGAGACAGCGTATTTACTTGTAAGAAAAGGGTCTTCGCCAGGTGTCTCTTGTCCCCTTCCCCACCTCGGATCTCGGAAAATGTTGACGTTTGGCGACCAAAATGTCATGCCTACTGCATGTCCTTCATTGTATATAGCTCTAGCTTCTTTGCCCATCACCTTCAAATGCATACTTATATGTGTTAGCTAACAAAATTATTCGAAAATCGACGAATAAAGAACACATAGCTCAATAGTGAATATTCGCCAATATAATCTAACAACCACGGGTCGAACAAGAATTTTTTGAATTACCATACGGTGCTTACGGCGTTAGAGACAGCCGGTGGCGGATCCACCCTCTGCTTAGGTTGGACTCCAACCCACTCTAATAATTATATATTGTAAGGTCTCGTTTGGTTGCCAAGATAAAACTAAATAATTTTATGAAACCCAACTATATTTATTGGATATTTAAAGATCCAATAAAAATATGCGTAGAAGGCAAGATAAGACATGATAACATAATATTTACGGGTCGATCCGCCAAGTTATTGGGTACCATACATCAAACAAAGTCCAATTATGACCCGTTTGGCTAAGCTTATTTTAAGCAGCTGATAAACTCTTACATCTGATAAGATGTTTTAAGAGCCGATAAGCTGTTACATCTTATTTTTAAAACTAAATTTTTAAAGTGTTTGGATAACGATATTTTAAGATATTTTTACTCATTATAAGATCTTAAATAAAAATATGCGGTAGAGGTACTTTCTAAAAAAAATCTTATTTACTCTCCAACAGCTTATTTTAAAAAAAATTAAATTTTTCTTTTGAAAATTACCAAACATTTTAGAAGAATTTATAAAGTCCGAAATATCTTATAAACTTCTTTTAGCATCTTATAAGTTAACTAAACACAAAACAAAGTCCATTATTTAGTTAAACAAAACATAAATATATATGGAAAAGTCCATTATTTAGTTAAACAAAACATAAATATATATGGAGAAAGATTAATCTAATTGCGGGAGAAAGGTCAAAGAGTTAGATAAGTATGTAATACGCAATTAAAATTAAAAATTCAAGTAGCTTATGTTGTCATATCATATAAATCATAAGTCAAGTGGCAGTTTAAAAGCAGTTACCACAGCAGTTATTGTAACTACATACATCAGCTGAGCTGACAATTAATTATAATAGTAATATAACCAGCAGTGACGTGGCAACCCACATGTTATTTAAGTAAATCCCAATAACACGTCACTTCAAATATACCCAAATAAAAAATTAAAGAAAATAAATAAAAAATAGTCATGTTATTTATGGACTAATTAATTAATTTACCTTGGCAATTCGATACCAAAGATTCTCGTCAAATGTAGATGCGGTGAGTATGACTTGAGGAAAACTAGTCGCCGACTTGATAGTCTCGTCGAACGTTACGCCGGAGTCCGCTGTTGTGGACCCCGCGATGCCATGCAGAGACTCTGACCACCACTGGTAGTACGGTATCCCCAACCGCGGAACGGCCGACGCCTTGTTGACCAGCTGCGAGATTTTCTCGTCCAACGAGAGTCGGGATATCAAGTCGCGGGCCCGCTCGTGTATCGGCAAATCGGAGTTGCAGAACGGGAACGACTTTGTCGATGTGACGGCTGAGTCGCACGAGAATGGCGGGAGTTTATTGGCTGATTGAGCCTTTAAGATTTCAAGTAATATGATAGAGGATATTATTGTAAATTTGAGAGCCATTTCTATTTTTGAGTGGAATTGTAATTTTTTTTTCATGTTATAGGCCTATGGGGAGGTCGTTTATATATAGTGAAGGGGTAATGCAGCAAAAATAGTAGTCAACTAAATTGATTTTGCTATGAAAAAAATTTCTATCACCTTTTGCTGACTAGGATATGAGCTGGCAATATATAATTGATTGGTGAATAGTGAATATGATAGGATCTAATCAAACACTAATTAATTTCCTCGTGTATTATTATTATTTTTGTAAATAATTAAGGTAGTCATTTATATATTGGGGGCAAATGCAGCACAACATGGAATAATAGTCAACTAAATTGATTCACATCAAAAAATGTTTAGTTCGTTTGGTGATTAGGATATTTGGTGGCAATTGTACTTGGATAAGTGATAAATCATAATCAATATGCTGGCGGCCGGTACATGTGAGTTGAGCTTGGGTTGACTCAAGCTCATATACCATCAGATATTATTACTATATGATCAATCTCATAAATTATCGGGTCTTGTTAGTACAGGCTCAATATCTCGTGTATTTTTTTGGGCTTTGGGTTTATACTGCACTTATATCGAACAATTACATATTGTACAACTTTGCAGTCGAACGTGTTCAAAAACAAAAAAAACCTTCACAACCGAAGAGGAAAACCTAGAATATTCATGAAGAGTAAAAAAAAAAAGCCAAAAACTATAGTCACGTTATAAAATGAAAACTATAGTTTGTTCTTTGAAACAAATGAAGTTTAACGTTGCAAAAGTTTAATCCTTGAGTAATTAGCTAGTATGACAAAAAATGCACCGGAGTCCAAAATGAAGAAATATAAAACAAATAGAAGGGATTCTAAATGTACTCCTAACACTTTTCTAGATGTTAAGCCTAAAATAATAAATATATTGTTTATTTAATTATTAACTTAATCGTCGGGTCTTATTCAGGTTGAGATACAGTAGGCTCAAATTCGGCTTATAAATGATTCAGGTCTAATAAAAATGACACAAACTTGGCCCGGCTCATAGTTAGTTATATTCAGCTCAAATAAAATTCTACCGAACATTCGGGTTTCGGGTAGATACAGGTTGTGCGTTGGTTGGGTTGGTTAAAAACTGGCCATAAAACCAACCCAACCTATCCAACAAAAGCATTATCGACCCAATTGACATGGGTTAGGTGGGTGGTTGATAACCAATTTAGTGGGTCGGTTGATGCGTCATTCATCAAAAATATTTTCTAATATTTTTAGTTGTTACAACAGTACTATTTTTTTTTTCCAATTAAATATGACTAGTTCAATAATATTCGAATACAAAATTCAAAACATTACGGATCATATGTATTGCAATTAAACATAAATTATTCAACAATTAATAATCGTCCAAATATTATAAGCTATATGTCTTAAAATTAAAATAGTTCATATTAGATAATTAGGTTATATTTATTGCTTTTAGGATTTTGATCAATATTAGACAATTTAATAAATGTGATATAAAATAGAAATTTGAAATAAAAAATATTAAATACTTTAAATAAGATTAACAAATATTAAATTAATAAATAAAGTTGGTTGGTCGATATTACCCGATTAACCAACTTTTTAGCATATTAAAAACCATTATCGACCCAACTACACATGGGTTGATTGGCATTATCGACCCAACTTAAATGAGTCGATTGATGGTTAAAACCGATCCATGCACGACCCTAATATATATATATATATATATATATATATATATATATATATATATATATATATGAATAAACTGCAAATACTACCCCTGTGTTATCTCGAAATAGCGAAAACCCCCCTGTGATAAATAAACTAGCAAAAACCCCCCTGTGAAATTTAGTCAAAGGCATAATCCCCCCTAGCTGATTTTTTAGACTTGAAATGACAAAATTGTCCCTCAAAATGTATTTATATATATACATATTGTATGTATATTTCTTCTTTTTAATTTGTTTGTTTAGAAATTAAAAAAAATAGTAAACAACTAAATTGATTATTTTTTAAATAAAATAATTAAAATAATTATAAGATATAAGAATTTATTAATTGCAAGACTCCAGGGGTATTTGTGTCTTTTTATATCAAGTCAACCTTCAAATAGTTCCATAGGGGGGTTTTTGCTATTTAAATAATTTCACAGGGGAGGTTTTTGCTAGTTTATTTATCACAGGGGGGTTTTTGCTATTTCGAGATTATACAGGGGTAGTTTTTGCAGTTTATTCATATATATATATATATATATATATATATATAAATTCTAATGTTCACAAGGATTATTTGACCCTACCTAACGATTGTATCAACATCCATTAATAATTTCTGGATATATATGTTGTATTATATGGTTTTATTACCATGCAACTAGTTCCAATCTTATCTGCCATGAAATTTTGGCCTTTGGAAATAAACAGACAGCTGGAAATGTAATTATGAAATAAATAATAATTAAATGTTGGAAAACCAAAGGGACCCAATGAAAGTTGGAAGCTAAAATGGGATTCACATGTTGTTTAGATTCTAATTTAATTGGATGATTTGTTTAATATATAATTTATTTTTCTGACTTTTCCGACCAGATGATTCACACTTGTGTATATTATATTATTACTAGTCTGAGTCCCTAAATGAAAAATAATAATTCATGTGTTGAATTGATTCTAATTCATAATTATTTGATTAGTTCATTATTGGTATTAATTAATGGGATCTTTACAAATAAGCCCGTCAATGGGTACTTATTCATAAAGAGATCCAAACAATAAATTTATTTACAAATAAGTCCATACATGGTCCAGATTTTTGTAAAAGACTAAATAGCCCCTCATACTTTAATATGTTCCAATTTCATACTTAATTTAATTTAACCTCAATTTGACCCAAAATGTCACAGATTATTCAATTTTGACCCAAACCACATTTTTACAGAGAAATTTGTCTGTCACCGCCGTTGACCACCGGTCTACGACGTTGACTTTTTTTTTTTTTTTTTTCTCCTAATTTTTCCGCCACCGGTTTCCGCCTTTGACCGGCAACGCCGGTCCGTGACGTTGACTTTTTCGATTTTTTTTTCTGTAACCTTTTTTTTTTTTGTTCAAACATCAATATTGCTGTGATTGACAGTAATATTAACTATATTACTGTTAACCACAGTAAAATTAACTATACTACAGTTTAACACAATAATATTGCTATATTAATCTCTAGCACAGTAATATTAACACAACAAAACTCATTATTATTGTGTAATAATATTACTATGTTGACCGTTCAACAAATGTAAACATAATAAAAAGCCAAAAGAATTAATATTACTTTGAGTGACAGTAATATTACTATAACAACAGTAATATTACCGTCAACCACAGTAATATTACAATAATAGACAGTAATATTATCACGTTACTCCGTGAATAACTCAAACAAACAAAAAAATCCAAAACAAAACAATAATAATATTGATGTGGTTGACAGCAATATTACTATAACAACAGTAATATTACCGTCAACCACAGTAATATTATTGTGTTTACAGTAATATTACAATAATAGACAGTAATATTATTACGTTACTCCGTGAATAACTCAAACAAAACAACAAACCCAAAAAAATAATAATATTGATGTTATTGACAGTAATATTATTGTGGTTATAGTTATTTTACTGTCAACGACAGTAATATAATTACGTTGACTTGTTAACAAATCAAACAAAATAAAAAATAATAATATTACGTTAATTTACTGTCAACGGCAGTACAATTACGTTAATTAACTGTCATTGATAGTATAATTACGTTAATTTACTGTCAGTGACAGCACAATTACGGTCAACGTTTAGCGGCGGACGTAAAAAAAATAAAAAAAAATAACACTTAAAAAAGTCAACGCCGAAGATCGTCTTTGACCACGGGTCAACGCCGGAATCCGACGGCGAAAAAAAAAGTTTTTGAAAAAAAAAACGTCAAAATTGAATTTTTGTGGTCAAAATTGGATATTTGTGGACAAAATTGATTAAATTGGGGTTACTAATAAGAATTGGATATAAAGGGTTGAGGGTAATATTGACATATACATGAATGTTTCCTTTATTTGTAACAATTGGTATGCAGGAAAGGAATAAGATAAGAATGAAATAAGCATTGGAATGGAATAATGATGGAAAAGAAATGATAATATTGTTCCCTCTCCTATGTTTGGTATAAACAAGGAATAAAAAAGGAATGAAATCTAATCCCTTACCTTGTTTCAATCTTATGATTGGTAACTTAAATAAAATGTATTGGAATGAAATAAAATATTTTAATGACCAAATTATCCTTTAACTAAAAAAATTTTGTAGCAATTTTTTTATTTATTACCTTGATTTTTAAATTTATTATTTTTAATTTTTTTGTGATTAAACGTTTTTTTACAATTCAATTACTCTTCATAATATGTTATTTTTTGATAAAATTTTTAACTGGAGAAAAAAAAAATACTGAGTACAAAAAGGACATGTAGAACACAACTAATAATGAAACACACCAATCATAAGAAAAATAACAGTGATGATTAATAACAATAGAAGTTATTTAAATACTTATTTAAATTTATTATTTTTTAAATTGATGGAAGAATTGATTAATTAGGTTTAAGTAATATGGAATCTACGTGATAATTTTGTAAATAAAAAGTATTAAAATAAGGATAATTTTGTCTAAAGAAAATAATTTTTTATTCCCATAGGATTGGGAATAAGTAAAACCATGGGGGAGTGGAGGAATCCCTAATCCTATAATTTTGGGTATGACCATTCCGGTAGGAATGGGTATTCCCATTCCCAAAACATACCAAACATGTGTTTTGGAATGAGATTGGGAATACGTATTCCATTCCTTGCCCATTCCTATATACCAAAACCTAGAGGCTAGAACAATAAAAATGTTTGGTTAGGGACTTATATGCACAAAAACCCTTTAATTAATTTATATATTGGGAATCCTATATTCTGAAAAGTGAAAACAT